AAAACTAGCATTCCCAATACTCAAAACAGGTTATACACCTTCTTAGGTCTGAATATGGCCATTTAAAATAACCAAAAAAGGAGAAAAATGAGTCTTTGTTAAAGCTTGTTTGCCCATTGTTATCTTTTGCGGAAATCATGTATAATTCACCGTCATTGTGGATGCAAACTGCAGTTATAGTTGTCCGTATTTAAACAACTTCAGCTGTGAATCTTTTCCATCCATTTTAGGGTAAGCTTTTAATTATGTCAACTAGTAACTTGCTTAGAGTTTGAGATGAATTAGCAACCACATTAAAAATAAGTTTTCATAATCCCTAATAAATTGATCAAAAATCTAAATATTTAGAGCCATGGATCCCTTTCTTTCTGAAAGGCTTTGTATTTGAAGGTGGGCAAGGTATGGTTTATATGATGCTTTTCATGTCTCCAGTTTGAAGGTTTTGAGGCTGGGATTGTCCTGAACTAATAGTGAGTAGAAAGAAAAGGGAATACAATTAAAATGCACTAAATGCACTAAAATGAGGTGCAGATACCTGCTCCCCAGTTACTGTTTTGCCATAAACTAGCTGTCATTTAATTTGCTGGTTCTCAGTATCTTTAGCTGAAACATGACAATATTTGCTGAGATCATCATTCAATTTATTCCAGTCCTAAAGCAAAGATTTGTAGTCAGACTGGAATCAAACACTGCTCCCTTACTCATTAGCTATGTTTTCCTCTCAAACATGATATTTAAACTATCCTGGGATGGACTTTGCTGTCAGAGTAAAATGGGGAGAATAATATAACCTTTTTCATAGTGGTTTGGTGAATAATTATATCATCAAAACACATAAAATGCTTTTCCTGACATACACGTAGCACTCAAAACATGTCAGCTATTGTTGTAATTAGGACTTAAGAAATCTCTAGGAACATATCTTCTTTTCCCTATAAGTTAAAGAGGGACAAATTCTATGACAAGATATATAACTATATTATTAATCCGACAAAAATCATAAAATTCTATGCGTCTCTTTATTTACATTATTATGATAGCATTATAGTTCCTTTCTATATTGGTTGAATGGGACGGGATAAGAGTACCGGTACAAGAACTTAACAAAGACAGATTTTTGGTAATTGAATTGATATCTGTCTCAAATCAGTTAATTTAAGCAATTTATTCATCAAGCTACTGTCCCTTTTTTTTTTTTTTTTTTTTTTTTTTTTTTTTTTTTTGGAGACAGAGTCTTGCTCTGTTGCCCAGGCCAGAGTTCAGGGGCACAATCTTGGCTCACTGCAACCTCCACCTCCCAGGTTCAAGCAATCCTCCTGTCTCAGCCCCCTTAGTAGCTGGGATTACAGGCATGTGCCACTATGCCTGGCTAATTTTTGTATTTTTAGTAGAGACAGGGTTTCGCCATGTTGGCCAGGCTGGTCTTGAACTCCTGACCTCAGGTGATCCACCCTCCTCGGCCTCCCAAAGTGCTGGGATTACAGGCGTGAGCCACTGTGCCCGGCCAAGCTATTGTCTTTAGATTTTCTGAAGATCCAAGATTTATCAATGAAAATGAAATACTTTTCAGAATTTTCAAAAGGGGTTTTGCTAATGGTCAGCTTTCTTTAGATGTTCTGTATTTTAACTGCTGTGAGAGTATGCTCTTATCATTGACATCTTGATACTTACTTAGAGTGTGCTGTTTTCTAAGTATAATATAATGCAGTTTATTCTATCTAATTTATTCTGTAATACCTATTTCAGACTTTCATAGTGAGTTTTAGAGATATGTGTCTAATTTCCCCCTTATCATTAATTAAAGATTACATCACAGAATGTTGGGATGTCTGCAGAAGTAAAGATCATTTCTGAAGACTGGAACACACACATGCACACTCATACACACACATATTAATATATACACATATACATATCAAATGTAGAGACTCATTAACTGAGACCTAAGTTCTTACAATCCTCAAAATAGTAAATGGTTTCTCACACACACTAGGCACTCAGTAACTAACCAGTAGTTGAACTTACACGGTGGGGAGGGGCAAATATTTTTAAAAGAGGTATCAAATCAAAAAAACTACAGAAGTGGTGACTGTCAGGCAAGAAAAAAGATAATAAAAACGTAGTGTACGTAGAGATTAGAAAAAAAATGAGTGGGGCCTGCTAATTACTGATGAGACAGAAAAAAATACTGATAAATTATTAATGTGTGGCTTGCGATTTCACACACACAAACTATAACCTTAAGGGCCTTAATCAATCTGAAAGAAATTCTTTAACATTAATAAATACATAAATGTAAGAATTAAGAAGAGGGAGGCAACTTTTGTTTTAGGCAACAAAAGATTCTATGATAGGAGGAAGGCAGTGGATTTACTTTTTCACAGATAAAATTTTTGTACGGCCTGACCTTTAAGTGTGAGAAATTTTTCCTTTCCATTTCTTTTCCTTTTCCTTTCCTTTCCTCCCTTCTCTTTCTCTTTAGTTATTTTAAAACTTCCTAACAAAACCTAGTTTTCAAAAAGAAATAAAAGATTTTTAGGTTACCCAAGTCTCGACATTCAGAGTTTTTATTGGGGCTCCATTACATGGTATGATTCCTTGATTATCCACATGGTTGACATCAATTTCCAGGTTGACTGATACCTCATGACTCAAAGCTGCCATCTTAAACCACCCGTCTTTCTCATAGCACATTTATGACCACAAATTAAATAATAGATATAAAAGTACTTCAAAATATCCTAATTACACTACAGAGAAAACGTTTATATTAGCTTTTTTCCTATAGATTTTCTTTTAAAAACATCAGACAAGCCGTAACAGAAAAAAAAAAAGGAGGCATCATGGCATAATGTAATTCAATTATAATCTTAAAAGCAGAACTTATTTTAAATTGGTCATGCATGACAAGATGACATTTTTTGCAAAATATTAACGTTAAAAATTAATAAGTAAAATGTCAGTGAAATCCATTAGAATATGATGACACAAAATAACAAAAGCTATTTTTATTATACCTAGCAAAATATATTTTAATTCTGAAGAAAGAAACAACGTTATTGTACAAGATGTAATGACTTCAGCTTCTATCACATCTCTTTAATGTTCATCAAGAGGGTGTCTTTGGCTATATATACTCTATTTATCTGCACTGTGGGGAAACTGTTAAGTTTTAGGAAGGAGAAGGTTGATCTGTCTGAGAAAAGGTAATACAAAAAAATAATGGGAGAAACTTCAATTAAAAAATTTAGCGGGAAAGAATCACAGAAGAGTACATTGCCTTGAACACATGATTGAAGAGGACCTAAAACGTTATAACTCCAAATTTCAAGTCATCCATAGAAGTATTTATTCCATGTGGTACATATACACTAGGAATACTATAAAGCCTTTAAAAAGACAAAATTATGTCTTTTGCAGCAACATGGATGCAGCTGGAGGCCATTATCCTAGGCTAATTAATACGGGAACAGAAAACCAAATACTACATGTTCCCATTTATAAATGGGAAGTAAGCATTGAGTACACATATACACAAAGATGAGAAAAACAGACATTGGGGAGTACTGGAGGGAGAAGGTAGAGAAGGGGGCAAGGGCAGAAAAACTACCTCTTGGTTACTATGCTCACTACCTGGATGATGGGATCATTTGTACCCCAAACCTGAGCATCACAGATTATACCCATGTAATACATTAATATACCTGCATATATACCCCTTGAATCTAAAAGAAAAGTTGAAAAAAATTTAAATGTATTTTTATCTGGTTAATAACATTCTGTTAGAGCTAGCAACTTTGCATTATCATTCATTCCTTTAACCTGCATAGAAATCTAGTCAATGCTACAGATGATAACAGCTTACAATAGAATCTCTAAATGGAGAAGTGCCCTAGGGTGAGATATAAATAAAATGCATGGCAGAGTGGTAGAGAATACATGCATATCTGCTTGGGTAAAAAGAAAAAAAAAAATCCAGCAATGAAATGAAATGAAAGACACTCAGTGGGCTGGTAGTGCTATCATTGCACCTTTACATATGTGTTGTCTGAAGTAGCATATAGAAAGGAACGGCTTCAGAGGAAGGGCTTTTTAAGGTCTTTTTCCACTCATGGGTCCAAGACATGAAGACAACACCAACCTAGAAAGCGCATTCTTTCCTGTCCAACAAATGACATCATAAGACCCAAGCTGATATCTAGACTTTGAATTCCAAACAACACAAAGACTAAGGATTCTGTCCATTAATAATGATTACCTGGAACCCTAGGGCCACCCTGGGTACTGTTTCTGAGACTAGGATTTCATTTGTTCCTTCAATTTTCTAAAACACAGTCATAATATCCCAACAGATTCCAGCAGCATTCTCACTTTTGCTTAAGTAAACTAAAAGTGGTGTCTCATGCCTGAAATCTAAGACCCCTGACTAAAACAGGTTCTGTGTACAAGAATTACAGACAACCACAATGCTGAGATCTTTGGTCAAGAACCTGTTAAGTTAACCAATGCAATTTTCTTTGCATACTTAACAAGAATCTCAGTTCTGTAAGAGGCCCAAAAGGCATATGAAGACATGGCTTCTGCCTCCAGTAAACTTTAAATATAGCCAAGGAGACAGAAATCACATAAGGAATAATCACAGAACTATGAATAACTAAATTACTAAGGTAAAAAACAAATCCAATTGTCTGGGCAATAGCAGGTCTGGAAATGAAGAGAACAAAATAGAATTTCAAAGACTTTCAAAAAGAAGAGCAGGATTGAGTATGGACTATAATCTACATAAACGGTCCCTCTCATTAGAAGTATATAGAAATGAATTTCACTGAAGAAAAATACCAGTACATACACTTAAAACTAATAAAATCCCATGATAAATAGCTTTAGAGGGATATAATGAAGTAGAAAGAAAAAGAGTTTCCATCACTGGCAGTATTCAGGTTTGCCAAAAACGTTGCACATTAAAAATGCTACCTCTGCTCATCATCAGACACACTCACCTTGTCCAAAGGGCTTTTCCCCATCTTCAGAAAACAGATGAGCCTGAAGATAGCATGGAAAGGCTGCAGGACAGATCCACAGGAATGAAAAGATGGAAAAGAGGACCTACAAGAGAGGAATGAAAGAGATGAGCTTGTTAAATGTAAGAAAAGAGAAGAGATATAAAAACAGCTTTAAAAAGTGGCATTTCAAGTACTTCAGAAATTTGCCGTTGATCCAAAATATCAAGTCAGAAATAATGACAAATGAAAACAATTAGTATTTACTTTTAAACCATTATGTCCTGCTTTTTGAAGGTAAATAAAGCCTCTTAACTTTCCAAGAGCTTTTTTTGCATACAATTTGTTTTAACTTTCCCCTCAGACATACTTTTCTATAACTCAGGGATTTTAAGTATGGCTTGATTGAAGGACGGAACCACTTACTGGGGCATCAGTCCACAAAGGTTAAGAACAGAACAGTAAATCTGGGGAGATTGAGGAAATGTTACTTAACAGGTTTCCTCTAAACCTAAATGTTGTATATAATTAAGACATATGTTGATAAATAGAATTACTATATAATTTATCATCTGACCTAGGTATTCTTTTGAAAGTTACAGGGGTGATACAGCTTGTCTCTATCCCCACCCAAATCTCATCTTGAATTGTAGCTCCCATAATCCCCATGTCATGGGAAGGACCCAGTGGGAGGTAACTGAATCATAGCAGCAATTACTCCTATGCTGTTCTTGTGATAGTGAGTTCTCATAAGATCTGATGGTTTTAGAAGAGGCTTTTTTCCCTCTTTGCTCAACAGTTCTCTCTCCTGCCACCACATGAAGAAGGACATGTTTGCTTCCCCTTCTGCCATGATTGCAAGTTTCCTGAGGCCTCCCCAGTCATGCTGAACTGTGAGTCAATTAAACTTCTTTCCTTTATAAATTACCCAGTCTCAGTATGTCTTTATTAGCAGAATGAGAATGGACTAATACAAGGTATATTATTAATAATTGCATTAGGACAAGGTGCAGACCACATGAGCATATAGTCACCTTATTGATAAGCCTCTCAGAGAAGAAGGGGGAGTAAGACCCCCAAAAAAGCATTCTAAGAGTAACAGTAGTTAGGACAGGTATGTTTTAGATGATCATTGTGCAAGTCTGGGGTGGGAGCTACATTGCTAGGGAGGAAAGGTAATTGTTCTTGTAGCCAGTCCATGTATGCCTTCCCTTCCCCCACCACAGCCTTCCCTGTCAAAATGTGTTGACCACATATTTCAAGAGTATTGACTTGGAGGGGCACCAAAAATTATTAGTTTGACTTTACAGTTTCAAAAATAAATAACGAATATTAAAAAGAAACTCTAGAAAGGCAAGACATTGTTTTCTTTAAATTTCCCATGTGCATAACTAAGCTTTTTTTCTTCTCACAAATATTTCTTTTTGAAACCCTTCTTCAACTGTGTCCTCACTGAGATTTTATGGGAAGGTGACACCCTCATCTCATTAGGCTCTTAAATCCTGAAGTTACTGAAGAAAGCCCCTTAAATATTCACAGCTATGCCAAGCGAGGCAGAGCCAGGAGGCTCTGGATATGGTCCGCATTACCTTAACCAAAGAAAACAGTTGACACTTACCTGATTCAAGCACAGTGAACTGAGATCGATGTGGGAATTAGGGGTGGGAGGTACTGAATCATCCAGTTTGATTACATTTAGCCGCTGATGCTAGGTAATTTCCAAACCACAACTGCAGTTGTTCTTTCTAGATTTAGCCAGAGACAAAGAGACTGTGTGTGTGGAAACATGTAATTTGCCCCCATAGATAACAAAGGACTCAAAGGTCAATTTGACAGCAAAAGAAATCTCTGAGGAGAAGGTGTAAACTCCACTTGGCTCTAAAGCAAGGAAGTGATCCCCTTGTGGTGAGATCAAGATGTGATGAGACTTGCTTTTCTCATCTCTCCCCTGTGAAGAGGGAAGGAACTGAGCAATAACGGGAGCGTGCCTGACGATTAGGGTGGCAATCACCTGAGCGATAAGCAAACAAACGTGCTTCCAGCCAGAAGAAGGCACACGGCAGGGAGACCTCCGATGCCAGAAGCCTTCAATTCCACTCACTAATAGCTCTGTAGAAAATCCAAATCAGGAATGGTAGAGGTCGGGTTGCCGGCTTATGCCCTCCCTTGGTGACAGCTCCGGGCAATTTTACCATCCAGCTGTTCTGTTTTTCAAAACTAAAGTAATTGGAATTGAACTACAGAGCTTTGCTAAAACCCTAGCAATTAACAGTGCGATTTCCCAAATTGCACTGTAATGGGAAAGTGTCCATCAATCAACCCAGTGAAATAACACATTTTCTCACCAGATGTGAGATTTAATATCTTCATAACTCTCTGGATTTACCACTTATGAACTGTCAGCCTCGCCTCGAGTATTGAGAATTAATGAACTACATCCCTGCTATGTAGGTATAGTTTACAGTCGTAAAATATCCTCAACTTTGTTTCAGATATATTTACCAAAGTGTTTTTCTTTAAGATGCAACCAGAAAACATGCTAGATGGGAAAATTTCATTTCTACTTACTATGTTATATTATCATTGTTTAGATAAATACAATTCCCAGAGTCTCAGCCTAACACACTCTTGTAACAGGAATAACCCGTTTATCACCAGCAGTGAACAATAAATTGCAGTGTGAAGATGCAACAGCTTTAAGCTTTAAACTTTAGAATATCCTCTATGGTTTTCTGGATAAAGACTGAAAATATTCTAAGTTTCTAAATGTGTCATACATGTACAGTTTCTGTTGTGCATCTTGGACTGAAATGATAATTAAAATAACCCCACATATGTTCACTTTGTCACTATGATGATCAGGTAGGTAGGTCAGTTCTCATTTTTACTTTCACTCCAATCTCAAACATCTGAGCCATGGTGAGGATGAAGCTGCCTCCCGAAAGCAATCTGGGAGTATTCTTGTGATGCCAGAACCTCAAAGCTCCCAAGTTTGCAACTCATTCTTGCTTCTACCCACAGAGGGGGACAATTGTTAACAGTGAAGGTCACTCTACAGGTCTCGAATGGACTTAACTCATTTAACAAATTATTCTTTGCTGTATTTTGGGGCCTGTGTAGTAATAGAAGCAGGGTGTCAAGGAGACAAAGGGAAAGAGCCAGGAGAAGCTTCAGATTTGGGCATGAACAGTTGTGGTGGCATTTAGGAAAGGTTCCCTAGAGGAGACCATGTCTGAGACTGACTATATCACAAGGGAAATATGTTGTCAGATATTGAGGTTGTCCAAATTATTAGAGTTATGTTAGAATAAAAACTCAGAGAATGTCCACATTATAAGGATATTTAGAGATCATCTATTTCATTTCTTAATTTAATAGATTCATAAAATATTCAACAAAAACTGTCAGTCATACTACTACATCAGCTGATTTAACTCACTTGGCATACATGTTATCCTAAGTAGTCTGTCATTCATTCTCAAATAATACCATTTCATTCTCCTTTCCCATATTGGTTGGCTTTAGAATATGACAGTTTTTGGGGGAGAGGGGCAAAAGAGAATATTAGAGGGCATGAAGAGATCACCTTGTCTAAATAATAAAGAAATTTGATATATCTCTGTATGATTTTTTATATGAGAGATTAAACTCACAAAGCAATAATTATATATTAAGAAAAATTCATAGCCCATAAAGCCAGACTGATTAAATACAATTGAGATTGGTAAAAATCAATTTAAATGATTATATGAATCCCCAACAATACAGAAATAAATTATTATTTAATAAATAGTGTTGGGCCAATGTGATAGCAATATGGAAAAAATTACTTTAGAGTCATTTCTCATACCCCACATTGTATTGTATTCCAGCTGAGAGTAAAACTTTTTTTAAAAACTGGACAATAAAGAACAGTTATTCTCTAGCAGTGGAGAGGAGATAAATTCCTGATACTAAAGAAATGGAGTGTATTAGGATCTGAACAGAGACAAGATGGATAAGCACAGATATGGAAAACTAAAGCATCCAAACTATAACAGGTAAAAAAAAAAAAAAAAAAAAGGCAACATAATGAGACCATGCAATAAATATATCATTAAAATATACTGTTATATACATACATATATAGAGTACATATATACATATGGATGTATACACACAGACATGTATCTTTGCTTCCTCTTTTTGTGATTATTCTCTGTTAGGCTTAGAGGTCTTAGTTTCTGAGGGAAGAATGCTTCCATGAGGAGACACAGCAATGATTCCATTGAATTAGAAGTTAAGATTGCTGCCTGGCCACTCTGGACTCTTACTGCCTTTGACTTAACAAAGAAGAGAGTTGACAAGGGGGATTGATCCTGACTATAAAAAGGAAATTGGACTATTAATCCACAATGGAGATAAGGAAGAGTATGTCTGGAATACAGGAGATCCTCTAGGGACTTTCTTAGTATTACTATGTCCTATAATTAAAGCCAATGGAAAACACAGCAATCTCATCCAAGCAGGACTAGTAATGGCTCAGACTCTTTAGGAATGAAGATTTGGGTTTGCCACACGAGGGTACTTTCTGAAGGCAAAGGGAATACAGAATAGTTTGGAAAATGGTCATTATAAATACCAGTGACCAGTAACAGAAGCTAGGAATGTAATTGTCATGAGTATTTCCTCCTTATTTTGCCATGAATACATTTGTAGGTCAGATATATAAGAGATACACAAGAAAGGAAAGAAACTAAAAATATTTTCTTCCCTCTCTTGTTCCCTCATCAAGTAAAATATGATTAGTTGAGTTTATATTATAGTATTTTAGTACTGTTAATTTTCTATCATAGTCTTTAAGTTATAGGATATCAAACAAAGAGTAAACACCATTCAAGGACTTGACTTTCTCATCTAGGAATCGAATTTTCAGCTGTATTCAGGACAGTTGTGTCATATTAGACAGAATATAGCCTTGTCATATTTCAAATATTAGGTATGGTTTAAGAAGATCTGTATGGGTGCCTAGTTGATGAAAGGTGGACTTGTGATGACTAATTTTATGTGTCAATTTGGCAAATCTCTCAGATTAAACAATTTCTGGGTGTGTCTGCGGGGGTGCTT